ATCATCCTACCCATTGAAAACGTATTGCTTAAAAATGATGAGATGTTTGCCAACACAGATACACGAAAATGAAAAAACCATTCTCTATACTATATCATAAAAAATAAATTGAAGAAACAAAGGCAGTGCCACCGCACCAAGCATCTGTGTCCAGAATATAAAGGTGGATGCATATGAAAACAAGAAGACAAAAATGACCTAACGAAATCAGCAATTATAGAAAAGGAATAACACATAAGAGGAACTAAAAACATACATCTTTCAGTTCATCTTCTTCAAAATCTTCTATCGCAGGGACAGTACTAGGTCCATTGGCACTGCGCTTGGAACCTTTCTTTTTCCGTTTGTCTACTTTCTCAGTAAGCGGATACTTGGCATTATCATGCTCTAGTAGGCTAAGAAGTTCTGCTTTAACCATTTCATCAGCCTGCTCAATAGGAGTAGGAGGAACAAATGAACTCCTATCTCCATCTGCTTTTATCAAGGAATTTCTGATGAGTTCCAAAGAGGCAGCAGGCGGTCTAGGGAGCTCCCTCTGCAATACTTTTGATCTCTTCCTAAGTAATGCTTGCTGGCGCGCTTCTTCCTCAGCCCTTTCTCTAGCTAGCCTGTCAGACATGTCCTCTTCAATCTTCTCCTCAGGTTCTTCATTATCCTCTGGAGCTGGTTGTACGACAATTTGGTACTCATTCTTAGGCTGTGGTAAGCTTCCAAAACCAAACTGCAAGTTTCTTCGCTGCTCCAGTTTTGCACTATTAGGTGTATCTATTTCTTCATTGATACGAAGCTCATCCCTAATGGGAGTCCCCTTTGGGGTCATGCCAAAAGAATCCCTTGATGGCGTCATGCCAATTCTAGGCGTAAGACCCGTTCTTGGAGTAAGGCCAGCACCTCCAGGAGTTGCAGAAGGAGTAAGCATCATATTTGGCGTTTGAATTTCCTTTTTTCTAGGTGTCACCCCAGAAAAATCTGATGGGTGCAACTCTGGATTATCTCCTCCTAATAATGGTGTCTGAGACTCTCTCAACCTGGCCAAATTTTCTGCTTCCATCATTATAGCATCACCCTTACCAGTAGGTGTTCTTTGAGGCGTTCGTGAAGGTGTCATTCCCAGCCTTGGTGTCTGGGAATAATTTGCAAGAAGAGCTCGAGTTGCACCACTACCTTCAGTGAATTCTTCAGCTGCAAGATCATTAGCATAACCCATCTTTGCAATTTCCTCCAATTCATTGTCCGAAATTTGGGGTGCAGGAAGCATCAGTTTTGATCTCTTCCTAACTGTTTCCGGATCATTCATCTTGTTGGCTTGTAGTATAGCTGATGGAGCATCCTGTCTTTGAGCAATTTTGTTCTTAGCAATATCTTGCTTTCTCAACTGCGCTTCCACATCAATCCTTCTCCTCCCCTCGAGTTCCTCAATAGTCGTAGGGAAGTTAGGCTGCTCCACTGGTCTATCTTCATCAACAACATCATAAAAGCCTGGAGGAGGCTTTTTCTCAAAGGGAATTTCCGCATTGTAGTCTATTCCCTTCCTTTTCCTCTTTCGCTGCCTAGTATCAATGCCAGCCGCCTTTAATTCTCTCCTTTTCTGTAGCGAAGCAAGCCTTCTGGCCTCTTCAAGCTGTTTCTCCCTGGCTTTCCTTTTAGCCTTCTTTCCCCTAGTGTTTGCTAACCGAGCTCGCGCCTCTGAAAGCATCTCCTTCTCATCCTCGTCCATATCAACAGGATCAGGACGAGCGGGCTTCGACTCGGGATTTGGGTCAATCTCTCCAGGCCGCAACTTCCGTGGATCATCACCCGGTTCATAATTCTCATCCTTAACACAGGCTGCATCAAGCAGTTTCTCATACCGCTCGAGGCACTGCGACGGAGTACGACCAACAATCGGGGCAATGGTTCTCCATTGTGTAGGCATGAGCTTAGCAAGATGTAGAAGCTTCTCATCCTCTTCTCTAGTCCACTCAGTCTGCAAGAATTGGGATTATTGAATCAGCATTACAAATTCACCTAACTAAAATCCCAGCTAAAAACTTCCTAGAACATCAAAATTTCATAACTTTCTCCCACCTCAGTGCAAATCAAATATTTGAACCACCGAGACGAATGCGAGTATAACCAAACATTATAAACCCTAATCCAAATCGGTTTCCACAATCAACACACAAAACCTAAAACCTCAAGTTGCAATCTTTCACCATCTAACATCCAAAACAGAACATAAATCACAATAATGCATAAAAATTATCAGAAAATAAAGCAAAAGATTACCTTTTTGATGGAGGGGTCGAGCCACTCGTACCATCTCGCCTTACACTGCTTAGCCGATTTGCGAACCAAGAGCGACGAGATTCGAGCCCACTGGTTCTTCCCATACTTCATGACCGCCGCCTTGAGGATCTCATCCTCCGTGTTCTTCCACACGCCTCCTTTGATCATAATCCTCATCTTGCCCTACTTTTCTTCGATTCAAACCCTAATAATTGACGATTGGTACCAAAACCCTAGGGTTTTTCGACTGGGACGCAACGGAGAAGATAATGGGAGAATCCCCCGGGGGTTTAAGAATCGGTGACTTCTCGATTTGATAAAACCCTATCGCGCCGGCACATCTCTCTCTCTCTCTCTCTCCCCCCCTCCCTCCTCCCTCTCAGTGTGATATTTCAGCTCTATAATTTGAGGAGAGTGGATAAAAACGGGAGATCTGCAAAAAAATAAAAAATAAAAAAATAGCAATCGTTTTGGAGGAGGGACGGGGAATTACAATTAAGAAATAGCAAGTGGAGGAAATAGGAATTTAAGGGCTTGATATATGAACCAGCCCAAACTATTTGATCTTGGATGGTAGTACATTTTGAGAAGAAAAAAACTTACAAGCAAGAGTTCCCGTTCTCATTCAATAACAACTTGACAAATGTCTAAGTTGTTAGTTCAAGTTTTGATTTTTCAATTATTTTTGCACACTTGTCAAGTTGTTGGATGAGAGCAGAAACTCATGCTTGTTTCTAAGCAGCCAAACTTTGTTCTTTTGAGAATGTTATTAATTAAACAGTTAAAAGATTTATGATTTTATAGATTTCTTAAGAATGAACATGAAAGTAAAAAATTGTAATCATCGCGTAACATTGTAGTATGAGAAGATAAGTTGAAAATGTAAACGAAAAAACCCAACTATGAAAGCTGATAGCATCTCTCGACCGTATAAAAGAGACATGATGATTATTTTAGGATGATGTTATACACACACTTCTTTTTATCTTCCATACACTCGTCTCAATTTGTAGTCTTCAAATCGAATGAATTGAAGATGATCAAATGACATAAATTAACACAGAACATGTGAAAAGTAAAGTAAGATATCTGGATAGCACCATCCATCATTTTATACCTTCTTTGCCCATTCCAAGAAGGTTTTTCTTTAGTTATATGTAAACATGGAGAAATTTTTAGGGTACGGGCACTTGTACTAGGTGGTGTTCCTACCACTGAGAATTTGATACTTAGATATTCTTTTCTTTTTTTTTAATTAATTAAATTTAGGTGTTAAATTATCATAAGTGGGGAACACCACCTCGCACAAGTGTCAGGAACACTTAAAATTTTCTCATAAACATGGAAGCTAGAGAATAGACAATGAACAGCATAACAAGGCTCAAACTGAAAATCCTAAACAATATGAGATATAAAACGAATTAATCCAAGTAGATAGGCAATCACATTATCACGACAACATAAATTATTAACACCACGTAGCAGTGATAGTAAAGGACCTCTCTGTCCATTGCACTGAAGGAGAGGTTATCTTCTTGGTCCCTCTGATCTTTATTGTATATTGAATTCTCGTTCACATATTTGTCACAATGCTAACCATTTAACTCAAACCTTTCAATCTCCATCATGCAGTACAAAATTTTCAAGGCTCTCCTGCTTTCATAAAGAGGTCGTACCAGAAATCCGTGTCTTCAATATTGGTCTTGCAACCATCATCTTACGGGATCGGGTATGCGGGGTTGGAATAAAAAGGAGGCTGCATTAACCCTGAAAAGTACTTTTTGGCAACAGGTGCTTCTGTTGATCATGATTATCATCAAGTCTAAAAAAGGTTCTTGATTCTTATTGCGGTGGGAAAATTGCAGCATATTGGCTGGGACATTGACGTTCGAATCTCTTCTTTTCAACCGAGAGTTCCAGTAATTCTTTATAACATAATCTGTCCGGCCTGGAAATCTTGACGCGATGGCAGACCAGACAGTAATTAACAACATTAGTTAATTAATTTATTAATTGATTTATTGACACTTAATCATAAAGCATTCTCAGCAAATATATATATACACATATATACATATATACATACATACATATATATATATATGAGCTCATCCATCTCAAAGTATGTAGCAAGCAAATTAAGTATACGTAATATTAAATGAATTCTGGTATGGTGATCAGTTAACTAGTCCATGCATGCACAAAGTGATTTGTGCGAGTGTAAGAGAGAGTAAAGAATTTGAAGCTTTAGAAAGGCCAATTAAAATGAAATGTGTGAGGCAGTTCTGTCCTAATTAGGTAGAGCTCGAATTCATGAGCAGTAGCCTGAGACTGGATTGATTCTTGTCTCTTGACTATTATCGTGGTATTCTAAATTACTAATACGAGGTCATGTATAAGCAAGGATGAAGCGCTTTGAGGGTAGGCTTGGTCTGTAGCCCATGTGAGATTTAGAAAATGAAATAATTAGTAGTAGTTGTAATGATTTAACCCAACTCAGCCCACCCGAGTAAGTGCTGAGAAGCTTCATTGCTGTGCGTGATTCACCTTTGGGATATGTGATTCAGGATTCTACTAGGTTGTTTATGTTGAAGTTCTCGTGATTCACTTAACATGTAAAGACTTCTCCGCCTAAAGGAAAGATTTTCTTGATCTCTTCTTTATTGTATATTGAAGTTCCTGTTCATGAGAAATTTTTCATTGTGACTGAAATACGAGTGGTATACCATGTGTTTTTATATAAGTGGTGATAAATTTTATTTTTTAAGTTATTAACTTTTTAATACACATATCCCACCATTTGTATAATGACACGTGATGTACCATCCCGTGTTCCGATTACACTGAAAAATCTCCCCTCGTTCATATATGTTACAATGTTAACCAATTAACGCAACCTCTCAAAATTGAAAACAAGAATTCAAACTCTTCTGCATGCCCTACTCTAATTGTGCTACATCTCCATCATGCAGTACTACTCTGGAGCCTCTCCTGCTTTCATAAAAAGGTTGTACCAAAAATCTATGTCCTCAATACTGGTCTTGGAACCATCATTGTTCGGGATTGGTACGGCATGGTTGGAAGAGGAAGGAGGCTCATGAATTAACCCTGGAACTGGAAAAGTACTTTTTGACGAGAAGTGCTTCTGCTGATGATAATCATCAAGTCTAAAATACGTTCTTGATCTCTTCTTCAAGTGCGAGTGCCAGAAGTTCTTTATTTCGTTGTCTGTCCGGCCTGGCAAGCTCGACGCAATGGCAGACCATCTGGAGACAGTAATATAACAACATCAATCAATTAATTTTTTGGTCATATTTAAGCATATAAATCAATCATTTTCGTTCAGCAAAGTATATATTTACATTTATAGGAGACTTAGGAGTTCTTCCATCTCAGTACATATAGCCAGCAAATTAATCATACGTCCTATTTTGTGAATCCTAGTACGATGATCAGTTAACTAGTCCATGCATACACAAAGAAATTTGTGTGTGTGTGTGTGTGTGTGAGAGAGAGAGAGAGAGAGAGAGAGAAAGAGAGAGAGAGAGAGAGAGAGAGAGAGAGAGAATGATGAGGATGAGCAGCTGAGAGCTAAAGTAGCCTTGATTTTTAAGTTAACTTCCCAACTTAGCCTAATACACTGAATTTGGAGAAGACTTATATGGAACGAATTCACTATTATCATAGCATCCCGGCCCACACTATTTATAAGTTTTCTAAAATAAGGCAAGATAGTGATGAACCCGTTCCATAGAAGTCTCTCTTCTAAACTGAAGTAGGTAGGCTAGCTACAGGAAAATAAATTGGACAACATATAATATATAGGGCTTTGATGAATAGGTTGTGATGAGTAATTAGTTGACTTGAAGTAGGAAACAGAAAATAGTAAACCAGAGAAGATCAGTTCCTATTTCCAAGAAGTTTATGCAGGTTGAGTATAGTTTCTTCTTCTTCCCTGCTAAAGTTCCCCCGTTTAATGCCCGGCCGCAAGTAGTTAAACCACCGAAGCCTGCAACTCTTTCCACACCTCAATAGACCTATAAAGCAAATAATTAATTAGATACTATAATATATGCATAACAAAGTTCATAGTCTATATGTACGATCCCCAATTCTTAGCAGGGATATGATCTCGTTTCGCTGTATTTGACTCACCAGCTTGTTTTGGAAGCGCTCTCCAATTCGCATGTCCATACTGTTGGATGTAAGAAATCAATATCTCATCTTCTTCATGCGTCCACGGTCCCTTCTTCATTCCCATCTTCTCACAACAAGGTGAAGGAGCTGGAGCCCTCACCATTTTTCTCCCCAAGTTAACTAGGTAACTAACTCGGACATGCACTACCCTCCCTCTCTCTCTCTCTCTATTTATCTCTCTCTCTCTCTCTCTCTCTCTCTCTCTCTCTCTCTAGATGCGCATGGGCAATGGATCGTTGATCACTAAGGGGATGCACTATTGGGGAGTACTTCAAACCCTAACTTTTATGGTTGAACAAAAGCAGATAAAGAATCCATTTCAGACGTGCTTTTGTTCGGCTCAGAAGAACACTTTTGGTGCCGAATGGTCAAATATAACATGCGCCACTAGAGAAATAGAGAGCTACCAAATTGATATCAAATACATATTATTCCAAGCCGCCCTGCTATAAAAAACTATGTCTAATTGTCTGTTGGAGAGAAAAACATGCATGTTTTTTATGCAATATGCATTGTACATTTCATACATAATTATAGTAAAACCTAAGTACTCTAATTAGATTCATTACTCTATTATCTAGCGAGTATTAATACATAAGAACTATTGCCAATGTCTTTATATTAACCGCATGCATTTTGTATATATGCCACTAAAGTTCAAGGAAATTTTTTATAGGATGGCAATAAGGCCTGTGATGTTTTATGACACGAAATTTTGGGAGGTCAAGCATCAATACGTGCAAAAAATGAATATAACGAAGATGAGAATGCTTTGTTGGATGTCTGGGCACACAAGAAATGACATAATCAAGACGAGGATATCCGAGTTAAAGTAGGAGTAGTCACAATTGAAAGATAAGATAAGAGAAAATCAGTTAAAGTGGTTTAGACATACGAACGAAAAACCTATAGATGCTACGGTTAGAAGATATGATTATGAGACAGACTTAGAAATAGACTTTAAGAAAAGACATAGAGTTCTTAGAGCTAATGGAAGACTTGGTGCAAAACCAAATGAAATAGCATTCTAGAATTCATATAACCAATCCCACTTTGTGAAATAAGACTTTCTTGTTATTGTATGCATTTTGTATATACTTATATTGTTCATCTGTGAATTTAGATTTAACACTTTAAATTCTAATCAATAATCCAAGTTTAGGATTGGTTCGTAACCATTTTGTGCTGATGGAATCATGCACTGTCCTCACTTTTTGCGGAGAATTGAAGTCAACAATCGCGCACGCACCATTGAGTTGAACATAATCAATTAATATCTAAAAGAAGCTTAAATTAATTCTTCAAAGTTAATCCATCAGTCTTCAGATGAAGTGCGCATTTTTATCACACCTGCTTAAGTCAAGTAATCATAACACAGATCTTGACTATATTTGGTGCAAGATCTCTCTAATTGCACTTTGTTAAGAAAGTCTAGCTACCTAAGTGAGACTGACTTTTCATACATACATGTCAGATTAGCAATTCTATTTCCATGTCCAATCCCTCATGCGTGATCGACTTTGGAAAAAAAAAAAAAAACCCATCCAAATTTCATAAATCAGAAAAACAAGTCTTCAATGTTCGAGGGAAACTTATATAAAGATGTCACTATAGTTGTATCCGAGTGAGTTATAAACTGCTATGCATTTGAATTTTTCTCACAACATGTATAATTGATTTAAGATAATCATGTGAATGTCTTAAAACGTAAGTCATTTGTTTACTGTGAAAGTTTGAATAACATAAACTAGACCAGTTTTGAACAATAGGGTAGCTCATGTGCTACAGTAATTGCCAAATTGGACATCGACAGACCCACATAAGTAAAAGGCCCAAAGGACGCCGACGAATCCCATTTTTCACATCAAGAAAACTTTCTGATATTATGAAGTCCAAGTAAAATTTGGTTTAGCAGCACCATTTAGTGCTATTTAAAGGCAGATCCATCAGAAAAGCAGTTGGGTCCCGAACCCCTATAGAATAGAAGAGAAGAAAATGGCTTGGAAGGTTCTATGGGGACCTTGTGGCAGTCTAGTTCGAGACCCGATAGTGACCACAAAGTATTCGATGTAATGTTTGTTCGGAAGATGTCGGTAGGGCTCGATATGTGATCCTCGACAACATGGCTCGGCAGATGCTGAGAAGTATCGGCAACGTGGTTCATCATATGTCGAAAGGGCCACCGACTGCTCAACAAAACCCTTCATTGACATAATTCGGCATAAATCAACTGAACTTGACAAAAATTGTGCATACAAAAAATATAAACTTTTACTCAAGAACCCCAGGAGGTATGATTCTTGAGTTAGCAACGGATGAAAAATTTCATTTTCGATTCACATGAATAGCATGTTGGGTTACCAACTCAACTGTTATGTTCAACTCTTGTTCAATATCACCACGTGACCACCTTTTAAAGCGTATTTGTGTCAAACTGATATTGACATATATTTTACGAAATGATCAAAATGATTAACGATGAACAAACTAAGAGACCATTTCGATCGATTTTACGGACTAAAATGAGGAATAATACCAATCTCAAAGAAAGAAAGAAAAAAAAAAGAAAAAAAAAAACCTTTTCTAAAAGCATATTGTTTCACAGATTCTAGTGATGATAATTGATGTCAACTTCGTATGGATTCCACGTACATATCACCTAACAATTTCAATTACTAAAGGAACAATAATTAATCGACTAATTCATTATTTTAAGATGTCATTTATCAATGCAGCTTTCCCCAAAAGGAATAACAAACCCTAAACTTATTTAGTTTATGAGCCAAATTGCATGCCTGTATCTTGTTTGTGCTTATAACCCAACTCACCAAGCAGAGTTTTTTAGCGTGCATGGAACATGGGCAGACGTCATATGTCATTAAACAAGTAAACGAATATGTAAAAAAACTTTCTTCTACTTGTATAATAACATATGACGTATCATCCCATGTTACGAACACATTAAAAAATCTCTCCTCACCAACTTCATCCAACTGTCAGGATAGACAGTTGATGAAAATATAAATCCATCATTAACAATAACCTAATTACTTATAATAATAAGAAGTTGAACCAAATCATGTAAAAGAAGCATGCTGTGCTTACATCAGAATGTAAATAATTGATCTAGCTAAATTAATCAGTAGGTAACGTGAAGCATTTTTCAAAGATTAAAATAATGATAACCTCGGATTAGTGATTAACATAAAATAATGACATGTTTAACGTGATGCATGACGACAAGATATTCAATTTTGCATGCTATGCTTATTTATAGGTATCCCAAGAAATGAAGGAACAATGGCCAGGAAAAACAATAACGGCATCATCCAAATTGAAATGATAATAAGTAGATGTGAACAGTGTGTACGTCTCTTTACACTCAATGAAATTATACAAAATTTATAACATTTTGAATACAGTTAGATTTGCATGCGATTGCTTCACGTTCATTAAAATTCTAATTGACTACACGTGGATTTACATGGTCTCTTAGAATGTCTTATAAAACCCTAATTGCTATAACATAATTTTAAAATATTTTAAAATCTTAATTTGACCACACTCATAAGTAGAGGTGGCAAATTAACTCACTGGATTGTTAATGGATACCTATTAAGACTCATTTAGTTTGATTTCATCCCACACCATCATCATCACCACTACCAATCTCACCTTTATGTTATGATGATATCTAATTAAACATGTATTCAAATGTACTCATTTTAATAAGCTAATTTGTCACATCTATCTGTAAGTAGCTCTAAGAATCATATATCAAAAGTTTTGTTCTTTATATTTTCCCTTAAACATATCTCCATTATGCTGCTCAACATCTTTAATGATACACTTTTTTGTTGTAAAAAATAAAAATAAAACATCAATAACTTTGGGTGATAAATATTGGGAGCAATATTAAGAGAAAATAGAACAAAAGAAGATTAGGGTTTTGGAAAAGTTGACATAGTGGAGGCTTCTCCAATAATTATAAAGTGCATATTCCTCCCACTTGACACCTTTGCTAGCTTATCCATTAACCTCACTTCACTCAACTCAATTCACTCGTTGTCACAAGAAGAATTAAAGAGGTAAAATTTCATAAATTTATGTATTAAGCATGATCAGGAGGATCCTCGCCAATTTCTCTTTATGAAGATCTTGGAGATTTTCTAATCATATCTATTAATCATACATTATGCGTTAGAAATCATTGAAAATTTATTCATTTAAAATTAAATATAAACAGTATCTGACAAAAACTAGCTGCACGATGTACAATGAACGGATGTGATTGGAGGATCCCCGGGATCCTCTCTCTTAAGTATGAAGCGTATTTTGATGTTTTGAAACAAGTGATGTTCTATTATCATTACGAAGTGACTCAGTGGTTAGGAACAAATTTCAAGCCTATATTTCGCATCGCACATTCTAGGTTCGATTTTTGGCGCTCATGAATAACAAGATAGTGGCCAGGGGAAGTTCAAACGCTTCTGTAAATCTTTCCAACCCCCAAAAGAGTGTAGTGCAGTGGTGAAGTCACCAACTGATCCCTTTTGAAAAAAAAAAAAAAAAAAAAAAAAAAAAACCAAAACCAAGTGATTCTATATTAAAGGGACAAAAAAAAAAACTTCTCGCATTGTCATAATTAAAAGGGTAAAATGTCACAGATTTATGCATTAAGTAGTGAAGCATATTTTGGTGATTTTATACGAGTAATGTTTTATATTAAGTCCACCTAAGTTACAAGAAGAAAAATTCGAACTTAACTCTAGAAAAAAAAACACATTGCTATAGCAAACTCGATTAGGCCTAGATTTGCGAGCGCCTTTTGGTGTTATATAAACATAATACAACAATGATCATGCCTAAATGGTTTGTTTAATTATGAGATATAAAAATATAGGAATGGACATTATCCTTATCTTTTAGACACCTGTGGGAAATGGTTCGACAACGGCAGCCTGCACCTTCATGGAGAAAGTGACATCCGATCAACTTCCATTTTCATGCATTGAGAGTAAAATGCATGCAATGCTGGACCAATCGCTATTGTTTGTTTCTTCATACGATCGACAGGAGAAATCGATGATGATGATTAGCGGCAGATTCAAGATTTGAATTTTGGGAACCCAGTATTAAATATAAGTTTTTTAGATAGGAATAGATTGCAACGGGCCCCCAAAAAAAAAAAAAAATTCAGTTTATTCATTGAGACATTTCGTCGAATACTTGACGGGCTTGTTGACGTCAATCAAACCATGTTGCGCTTCCCACTAGGTGTCATCATATGTCGAAACAATCTGATGAG